GTTATTTATTAAGAAATTAAACTTATTATTTACTAATAAATGAAAAATCCTACTTTAATAATTATATTAATGATAATTATGATGATGATGATTATTATTAAGTAGAATATTGTTTATTTATTTATTTGACACCTGCAAACATTGCAGAAATGTTCTAACCAACAGGGTCATGTCATATGCAGTACAGATACTTAATATATAACCTACTAAAAATTAAAAGCATTAATGTCTGCTAAGTCTTTGTTTTCACAAGCTTTGTAGATGTGACAAATTCTGCCTTTAAATACCACCTATAGCTTTCGTCATGAGCCACGGCTGTGTTCAAAATGACATGAATGTTTTCAAAGTGCACTGCGAAGGGAGCACAATTGTAAACATTAAGATCACTGAAACTAAACTATAGAATAAAATTTACAGTCAGACCTGCATCAACTGTAACTTCATCATGTTTCATTATTTATATACAATACTAGTAGACTATCATAATCGGTTACTAAATTGAAATACAATTGTAACATTACATATTTTAAATATAAGGCTTTATATATATATATATATTATATATATATATAAATTGAAAGGAATTACTTTAATACCACATTATCAAGGTTCTAAGAATCTGAGGAAACGCAAAGTGACTAAAATCTAAACATGAAAACAAAAACAAACAGAAACAAAATTAAACACGATTTTATAAGCGTCATACAAGACAATTTATGGGTTTCAACATTCTATATACATACAGTAGTACTGCATGTCCTACAGTATATATTTAAGTGATCAGACAGGCACTGCACCTCGATAGCTTCAGCAATAGTGAACCACTACATGCTTGTTTGTTCAGATGTTGTTCCATTGAAGTGTTCTTGGGTCAGACTGGGTTCCAAATCTGGATTGGCAACAGGTTTCTGTGCTGATTACAACAAAAGTGAGAAGAAAAACAGTATGTAATTGTAGGGATAGACAGAGATGTAGCAATTCATTACAAATACCCCAAACATAGACACATTCTGAAGACTAAAACCATAACCCAGGCATACTGAACCTTCTCAAATGGGGTTTACTCTGTTATTTAAGAGTCACTGCATTCTACAATAGTCGTGCAATTACTTTTACACATTGAGATTTTAGAACAATTGCATATCTACTCTATTAACCATTTGATAGATGCAATAGACAGAAGAGTGGCAAATTAAAGATGATAGAGACATAGGGCCCTATCATACACCCGGCGCAATGTGGCGCAAGGCGCGGCGCAATACTTGTTTGGTAGTTTCAGCTTGGCGCAAGAGTCGTTTTGAGGAGTTGCGCTACGCTGTTTAAATAGCAAATGCATTAGCGCTCATATGTGCGCACATAGGCGTTATAATCTAAAAAAGGAGGCGTTCTGAGGCGGACTGCTGGCGCGTTGCTATTTTGAGAAACTAAAATAGATTTTTCATTAGACCAAAACAAACCCGGTCTAAACTCCGGCGCAGAGTTGCGCCTCGCTTACAAACTGCTTAATACACACAAGAGAGCAATAGGCAAATATCTTTACATATGAAAAAATTTAAATATTAAGGATATATATATATATAGGATATAATAAGAATAGATATAGGATATAAATATAAAGGATTAAAATATTACAAAACATTATTTTCTAGCCTACATAAATATGAAAAATCACTGCTTTATTGTCTTCTTCATCTCGGGAGGCTTTTTCAGTTCATTTATAACATTTTGCTTTTGTATAATGTTATTTTTATTATCAGTATTATTTATTATATCCATATTATATTTGTTTTATTAAAAACAAGCTTAGATTTGCCCACCTGTCAGGTTTTAGACCATATGGGGCACAGCATGTGTTTTAGGATATAACTCAGGTTTTTGAGCACACTTCGTTAATATTGTTCATTAATTCGTTTGCTGGAAATTAGAACTGAATTTAAAAATAGTTTTGAAACGAATACTTGCTCTTAACAAACGCAATTAATTATTTATAGACTAATCGATGTCTGTGCGTAAAGGTTTCCCTATGTAAGAGCGAAAGTGATCCATATCTCTTACTCACGCAGTAGATGCTCTGTTTAACAGTTTTCTGTTAAAAAAAATGTTAACTGTTTGCTAGTGAAATGCTCAGTTTTTCCACTTAGACTTACTTTAAATGTAAATAGCGAATGCGCTCTTGGCGCGACGCAGCTGGCTCTTAAAGGGAATGGGAGATGAGACTCTAATTGGTTTATTCTCAAAACACACCTATAACTCATTAATAAAATAAACTCAACCCTTTTAGACCATGCGCCATGGCGCAAAGCGGATTTTCCCGTCCTTGAATTAGCAAAAATGCGTTCTGACACGCCCTGAAAGCGCTTGCGCCTTGCGTTTTGCGCATGGACCGTCAAAATAGAGCCCATAAGCTGCGTCCCAAATCGCATACTTATGCACTATTCTATGCCATTTTGTAGTATAAATAGTGTAAGTAGTGCGTTCACATTAAAAACTCTAAAAATTATGTGTACTTTAAATGCACTTATTCAACCGGTAAAATGAAGTGTGTAATGATGCACACTTCACACACTCAACGACCACAGGTTTGCTCATGTAGCGGAAGGAGCAGAGCTTTCGGATGCACATGTTGGATTACTTTATTTGTTTTGGATGGTGAAAGCAAAATTCTCCTATGAGAGTGATTATAGCTCCTCCCCATGGTGACTGCAGTTACACTCATGACAGGTATTATTTGATAGTTTGGTCGTTTATTTCACTGATTTGGCAACCATCAAACGTCATCAGGGAAACGGTTTGAATTTCCACCAAGTAAAAAAACATTAGTGCTCCATTTGGGACGACACTATATACATATACTATGCTGTTAAGTGTGTAAGTGCATAAGTACATAGTGTGCCATGAGGCGCAGCTCTACTCTTTAGCAAGACCACAGCCTCCATGGAGGCAACAGGCACATGCACACTGATGAATGAGTGTTTAATAGACATTTTTGTTTCATGTCATATCACTAAACTCTTATTGTGACTATTGTACAGTGAAAGGATGGCAATAAACTTCATAAAACTCATGTTTACGAAAGGTTGATATTGATTCTAGCCTGTTTTCATACAAATATAAACTCTAAATGAGTCTCTGTCTGTTCTTTTTGTTGGGTATATTTATCATTCTGCTTATATTTCATCAGCAACATATAACTTGGGATCAGTTATTGACAGATACAGTTGACGTCAGAATTATTAGCCTCCCTTTGATTATTATCAATTTTTATATATATTTCCCAAATGATGTTTAAAAGAGCAAGGACATTTTCACAGTAACTGCGCGCCTCCATTGGATATAACAAACTTGCCCACAAAAGACGCGATATGTGAACAGCCCTAAGTTAATTGCCTCACCCTTTGTTAATTCAGTGAGCGTGTGTATTAGCCTCAGTGTACGAACTATAAACTAACACACAGTTGGCATAACTTTGCTTATTTGCGGCAGTTTTGTTTCATGCAGATAAACGGTGTTGTGGTGGCTTTACGATTAACCATAATGAAATAAAGCATGGTTAATGGTAAAACCTGTTAATCGTTGCATCCCTAACAGAGCTTAGCTGCTCTTATTTTGTAAGAGCATATAAACAAAACCCTATTGGATTTTTTAAAGTGAACGACCTGCTGAATATGTGTGTGCTGCGTCCCAATCCGCATACTATGCTTCCTAAATAGTATTTGAAAAATAGAATTAGTATGTCCCAAACCATAGCGTGTTGAAAAGAGTGTGCCAGAGGTTCCCGGATGTTTGTAGAAATTGTAGAACCGTACATTCTCTAATTGCTGATATTGCCCACAATACATTGCGCGTTGGACGTGAATGCGATTAGAACTACAAACGTGTGTGAATAAACTACAAACATGATGGACGCGCGAGACCAACAGCCAAGTAGAGAGGCTTCGGTAAAGATGTTTGCAACCTGGGCTCATTGTGGAAACATAGCCCCGCGGACGTTTCTGCGGACCGCGATTTACGTCCCGGGAGGTACGTATTCGAGTGTTTTTTTGTTTTCGCGGATCCGCGAGAGGCCGCTGTGCGCGCTTTTTCGCGTCTCGGGCGGGCGCCTCTCGGGAGCGCGCGGCGTTCGCGCCCATGCCGTTCTCGCGCGAAAAGCCGCCGGATCAAAATAAAAAAAGCAAAAGCCCTCGTCTTCGATTTCGACCGCTTTTTCGGATCCCGCCACGTTCTCGCCCTCATTTTCCGGATTCCGTTTTTCGTCTTACCTGATTTCCGGAACCCGCTGTTCCCCGGACTCGATCCCGGTCGTCGTCCACCGCGGCTCCTCCTCCTCCTCCGGAGCCTCCGCAACGCTGTGAGCTAGGCGGACAAACTGATTGCGTCGGGAAAGCCCTCCACTCGGAGGCAAGCCGTCGGCCGGCAAGCGCGAAGAGGAGGGGCGGAGCGGCGCCACACCACCCCGCAGCGTTCGCTCGAAAAACAAACGCGGTCTTTACGTACCTCCGGCCACGTAAATCGCGGTCTCCAGAAACGTCCGCGGAGCTACGTTTCCAGAATGAGCTTGGGTTGGATGTTTGAGTGACTGTTAGTCAACATCTAGCCCACTGGAAAACATTTAAATCGCATTATGTGTGTTGTATTTCATTTGCAACAACAATACTGTTGCGTATATAAAGACACGTTTGGACGTCAAAACGTCTGAATGCATAATTACCCAAAGACCTGAGGAGATTTCTCTGCATGAAAGACTCATGAATGGGAGATTGACCTGCTGCTGCTTCTCCAATAAGGTAGGAAAATTAATACAACAAAAATGTGGATGACGTGTGGATGATTGACAGGGCTCATAACCGCTTAACACATCAATCTGTTAACGAGGAAGTAGTATGTCCCAAAGCTTCCATACTCTTCTGTTCATTTTTGATCACCAGCCACTGTGGCTAGTAGTTCTAACATTACTAGCCACTCGCCATTTTCACTAGCCACAATTTTCTAGTTAGGAAAATATATTTTGCTTAAACTTGACTTTGACGTGCTAAATTGCTTGATTTAGATATTGTGTTATGTCCACATGCCTTCTCATTCATTTCTCTTC